ACATAGGTGGCCATATGGCTTGTCAACACACTTGAAAAAGGAGTAATCTCCGATGTCACCCCAAATTCTGTCCCAGCTCGTGAACTATGGCCAGCCTTTGCATCTTGTCATCATGAAACCTTCTATATTTAACTTTCCATGGATGCAAACTCATGTAAAGCTGCAATACATGGTAATGCACATACAGTGCTGTGCAAATATCAGAGAACACCATTCATCTACTTAAAGTCCTGTCAAAATGGCTTTGTGACAGCTAAACTTCCTTTCAGACTCATAGTGTTGAGTTGTCCTCTCACAGTGGACGGATGGACAGAAACACCTGTGGATGTTTTCAGATCTGAAGCAAGAGTGGGACTTGATTTTCTCCTCTCTCTCAAAGATGAAAGCTTTAAGTGCTTTTTATCTAATTCGGACAGTTTTGGTCATCTGCCAGGTCTTGCACCGTTAAGTCCCATTTTCTGTAAATCTTTTAATTAATTTAAATAAAGAAAAACTCCAATTTTGTAAAATCGTCTTTTTTTACTCATTTTTTGACTTTCCACTTCCTTATGCAAATTAATTATTACGTTGGCTTGACAAACATAACATAGCAATGGCTGAGCAACACCCTAGAAACCTTGGATACAATGCCAATGCAGTATCAACCCCTTAGCAATCACCTAGGACACCTTGTCATCAGCCTAGTAATAACTTAGCAACCACCTGAGACACCATAACAGCCTACCAACACCTTATCAACCAGATGGGACAAGATAGCAATATCTTAGCAACCACCAGGGATACCATAGCAATAGCCTTGCAACACATCAGCAACATCAGAAAAATATCCTGATTTGTATCTAACAGTAGTTTTCACTGCAGTTCAACAAAATAAAGAGTGATCTCTGAACTTTGTTCAGTATTGTATTCAAGTACTTTCAGAATCTTTTATGTGACACATATGACACATAATGCATGCAGCTCCTCATATAACCTTCTGAGGTCCACGAATGTGCCTGCACATCAAATTGAATATTTCTATGTATGTTTCTTTATCTTTGCAATAATACAGTGCATAAATACGGTTCAAACATTTCCTGAATCTTTGGAGTCACTCTTTCCTTTCTGTCTTATTGTATAAGTCATACATGATTCACATTTGGAGTTATGATGCCACAAAGAGGGGTTGAGATACATGTCATCTGCCTCTCACCATGTGTAATTAGTGAATTCATGTGTATGTCTGCATTTTGACCAATGAACACTCAGGAAATCAAGGACTGACCCACTTCGGAAACCCTTTATTCTTCTTTCAGTCAACATCAGTGACAGACGAGAAATGGCGTGCAAAGAGTTTACAGCCACTGAAGTTGCTGCAGCAGTTTTGGAAAGTAGTGATGAAGATAACAAAGCATGTTGATATGAAACATTTGGGTATTATGTTATATGCAGTATAAGAAGGTATGCAAAAATCAAGAAAATGCCCTTCAGACCTCAGAACAGACTCTTATACTAATCTGTGAAGCATAGTATTTTTTAAATGACAATAAAATGACTCTTGTTGTGGAAGAAGTGGATGATGCTAATTTTGAAACACATCATTTAGCTTCAGACAGACTTCATTGTCAGCAACCTCTCCATCAGAACATGATTGACTGTAAATGAGAAAGCCATACTGTCCCTGTTGTATATGCAACCTTGTGAATAACAAAAGTAAATTTAGATCTCATTCATAAATCACCTATCCATTTTGACAAATGACTGCATGCCAACGGTGTAAATATAACCTGGTAAAGAAGAAAAATAAATCTAAATTGCCCGTTAGTGTCTAAATATGTTCTTAACACTGACCGGTTCATGGCGTAGATAAACTCTTGTCTCTCTAAGATGTGAACGCAATCTGGGTCTGCGTTCATCCAGCATGACAGTTTTTTAAAAATAACCAATCTAAATAATCTGCAGAAGGGTGTGTGTCTGTCTGTCTGCCCTGCGATGGACTGGCGACCTGTCCAGGGTGTATCCTGCCTTCCGCACAATCACAGCTGGGATAGGCTCCAGCACCCCACCGCGACCCAGATAAATAATCTGCAGGAGGCACAACATCTGAACACATGTCTAATCTTGTCTAATTACCGTCTACAGAGGCATCTGCATATTAAAGCCTAAGGTGTTGGATTAGCATTGGGATTAAACTCTGCAGTTTAAACTCTGATAGTTCTTTTGGAGCATTCCTTTGCTTAAACCCTTAAAAGTCTAGAAGTGCTATATTTGTTTTGCTCTACTAATTACATGCTTATTTACCAGGGTTGGGAGGGTTACTTTAAAATGTGTTCCAGTGTAGATTACTGATTACCTGTTAAACATGTAATCTGTAACTCATCCTGTAAAATAAATCACTGTAAAATTACAGTAAATTACTAAGAGTTGCATTAATTTCTCATTAATGTATGTAATAATACCATATTAACAATAGATAACGGTAAAATAACAACTGAATATGGTGACTTCACAGTCACTTGGACCACAAGCTTACTATGCTGTATCTGTATTTTGTTGTACAATTACAGTAATAACATGTAATCCCCTGTACTTCTTACAGAACTATTAAAAAAGGAATGCAGCTCAGTCACCAGTAATTCACTATAAATTAACATATGAAAAATGACTTTTAATTGTACCAGACCTGTAAATATTTTTGGGAAAATGTAAATAAAATAACAGATAAACAAAAATGAACTAAACTTAACCTATTTATCCATGTTTTGCACAGAATATGTTTAACCTTTCTAATAATTAGCACAAACAAAACATACCTCTGGCAATATCAATGAAGAATACTTCTTGTCAAGACTTCAGTATTAAAGAATTAGAAAAAAAAACAATTAAAACACTCATAAAAGTCTTTAGTACCAAAATCTACATCATTAGTATTAAATTGCTTAAAATATTTTATAAGAATGTTACGCCTTTTTAACTTACTAAGTTCCTGTCTTATCCCATAATGCTTTGATACAGCTGTACTTCAGACTTAGATTATTTTGCTGTATTATTACAGAAAATATCGCAAGATGAGTTAATTTCACAGTGAAATGATAAATACAGTATTTTACTGTGTCTCTGCTCTTCTACTTACAAACACATATGTGGTATAGCTTGAAAGTTTAGAAGCTGTACTTTCAACAGGATTTCTCAGCTTGTTTTGATGAGTGATCAATGTGATCAATGTGTGTGAAATCATTAATTAATCAATTATTAAATTCCACCATTTTGCTCTGATCTATGACTTCTAAGGGATAAAATAAAATAAGCAAAGAGCATCCCTATAACCTAGTCAAGCAGAAATGAAAAGTTCTGAAATTCTTTAAGCCTCAGTTCCCAGTGCACTCATGAGAGGTGATAACAGCTCAGTCCAGCATCTGAGAAATGATCAGATGCTACACTGTACCGGTTATCATATACGCAGGTCCATCTGCTGGTAGTGAGACATGAGGGGGTCCCTCACTACCAGGTCCTGGCAGAGCTAGACAGGAATGGTGCTAATCAGCCTGTCCAAGAGCGAGTGTCAAGCAGAACAACAGAGCCAATGCCTCGGCTAAACATAGACCACCTGGCTGCCCCCAGCTGTCTGTGCTGCCCTGGCCTGTACTCCGTCACTTACAGGCAGCTTGGCGCAATGGCTGCTTCAAGTCTAAACTTTCATATCTAATCAATTCTTTACCTTATTTGAAAATGCTAGTTGATCTTTCAATTGTTGAAACATTTCAGGATGAATGGACCGATAGTAATTCGCCTGAATTACCTGGAATAAAATCTTGTTATGTACATTAAGGCTACATTTTTGGGAAATTTCTGCATCATTCAATCATTAAGATGTGAAGTTCTAGAGAAACTTCTTGTTAACAGTGGTGGTGATAGGAACCAGACATCCAAAAGTGTTTAATGCCTCTAAAACCTGCATTACAAAAAGTGAAAATGCCTATGCATTGAATGCCTATGAATACGCTTCCCGAGACATTGTTTTACAACAGTTTTACTTCAGGGCATAAGGAAACTTTCAGCCAAAGAAAACATGTTATTTTAGATTTACTGTTATTTTACCATTATCGATATTACACATAAACATTTAAGATTAGGCATGTAGGTTGACTGGTCACTTTGGACAGCAAATAAAATGTCTATACTTTCCATTAGACCTCTGGTTCCTATGACCACCACTGTAAGTAAATCTGTGTCAGTAAGTTGCTCTACAATGAACCAATTCATTCCAAACCACTCAAAACCAGTTTTGAGTTTGTTGACATCTTAATGATTGAATATAGAGAAATTTTGGAAAATCTGTGGAATCTGTGGATGGTTTTCCCCCTCCTATGAAGTTACCATGTTGAAGATACAAAGTTTTAAGACAGCAATGATATCCAAAATACTGCATATCACAAATTAATATATGCATGATATCAAAAATAAGGTTCTCCATACAGCATAAGAACACTATTCACGTATATATTTTGTCACTTTTGTAAGATTCCCAAATGTAAAAGGTGTTGACAGGCAGTGTTGTGTAGCAGCAGGAGGAGTAAACAAATGTTTGTCATTCTTAGCGATGTGAAAAAAAGAGAGATGTTGTGTGAACGAGAGTGAGAACAGATGGCGGCCGTTGCTTTGCGTGAGCGGGCAGGTTCGCAGGATGCTGTGAACACAGCCAAACGTGATATATGACCTGTGTCCACAAGAGCATGGCTTTGTTCCTGCACTCTGCCGCTGAAATTGATCACCAGGCCAGCTCATAGAGGATTTGCAGACTTCGCTGTGCACTGAATGCTGATGCAGCATTAAAGAGAAAAAGGGTTGTGATGTGCTAAAGTTTTGTTTTTATTCTTTGTTAGACTAAGAAATGGCTAAATTTTTATACAGTGCATTTATACATACTATGGGGTCTTGCACACCTTTTTTTGATTAACCTTTGATTTTTAATTCAGTACACAGAGTTTCAGCAACATCAGCTTGGATCATTACACAGAAGATGATTTTTCAGAAGTACTTTATTATGACACACAAGACAATAATGAGAGTATAATAATGATAATGAGGATAATGATAATGCAATCTAAATATGTTACTTCATAAACATGAAGAGTTTTTAAGAGTTGCAGTTACACCGGGTACACCACACCAATATCATTTTCATGAGTGTCACATTTTGTTTGTCTTCAAAACATAAAGCAAGGACTAGAAATCTGGCACTTTATTACAAGTCTCCATGTTTGCTACAGCTTTACGCCTTCAAGCCTAATTGTGCTAACTGTGAATGATCCAACATGGTAAGTTTTAGCACATTGCAGAAGAAATGTGTTACATTCACACCCAAACAAGTCTACAATATGGCACTAACTTCATTTAATATCAAAACAAGCATGAAAGCTGCCAAATATTCCTCATAAACTGCATTCATGGATATCACTCAAGCCTAAATAGCATCACTTGTTTTATTTTTTCATTTGCAAATAACTTTCAAGCCTCTAAATTTAGCTGTTGCAGAAATGTCCTGGCGTGTGTTGCGTGTAAACAGTCTGCCCAGTGTTTTTTTTTTTCACATTTGCTATGTTTACACCCCAAAAAGTATTTACACTAACCTTTCTATGAAACATCGACATAATCATGCCAGGGTAGATGTCATAAGCTATCATAAGCTGTTGTGACAGATTTCGTTCAGTAACAATGTCATGTTACCATTACTGATAATTGTCATGATAGTTGCCATAATGTTTGCTGTCATGACATCTAACTGCAGTACACTTAGCAAAAATGGTAAAGCTGTAAAGCAGTGTTCAAAAGGCTATGACACCTATATAAACTCATCGTGACCACTGACCTAAAGCTATATGAGCACATATAAAGGCTTATTACCATAGCCATCATCTGTCATAAAAGCCACTTTGATTTTATGTTGATTTGATGCCTATGTCAGATGACTTCTAATGCCTAATGCCTATTTCTAATGCCTATAGGAATAAGCTGTCATGAAGGGTAGGTGTTGTAAACACTGCCCTACAGCAAAGTGGTCATCAGTCATGACAAGTATCAGTAATTGTAACATGGCAGTGAATGTGTTTACATGCACATCAATAATACCATCATTATCAGATCACTGTAGTCAAGCAAGCAAGATTGGATTAGTCAAGCAGTCATGTAAAAAGCATACCCTAATTTCTTAGATCGAATTAGGCATTATCAGATTTTAAGAAATTATCAGATTTCAAGAAATCTGACAAAGATACCCGAATTTTAGCTCAGTAATTGGGTCTTCTGGGTGCATTTATACCCTTACTATGATTTCTTTCACTTTCTTATTCTGCCCATGACAGACAGAGGGTTGAGCTGACCTGGAAACAGCAAGCAGCATTTAGTACAGCATCCACAAAATGGCAAAAAAACATTTTTGAAACTAACTACGTGCTTGATTAAATGAATTAGAATATTCTTCATTTTCTAGAAGTGTTTAAATTTTTCAGCAAAGTAACTCCTTTTTTAAAAAGTAGCCGCATGAAGTTAGAATTTTATGTCACGTCCTTCTTCTTCTCTGAGTTTATTGGCTGTTTGCAAAACAAAAATCTAAGTATTGGCTGATTCATGTAGACATGGAGATTTCCCATTATCTGATTACCCAAATGCGTGTAAACATGTTGAACGAATTACTGAAAAAAATCAGATTTTTGTCCGATGAGTTATCAGATTATTAAGTGCATGTAAATGCATTCACTGTTATATTACTCATGACAGACATGTGTATGGCATGATTACGTCAATGTAATGTTACAGGGTTTAAGTAAATTGTTACCAAAAAGTCTACAGTGACTTTATGTAAAATCAAAACAGAAGCAAAAAAAAGCTGCCAAATATTCACACAAACTGCATTCACAGTTATCACTCAAGCTTCATCTTATAAAGTTTTTAAAAGGCTAATTTCTCTGAAATTAGCGGTCACATAAATATCTTAACCTTTGTTTAACATAAATAATCAAATATCCCTCTTTTTTTTGGTTATCCTCAATTCTGAATCATGTAATGTTTCCTCACTATTACTTGCTTTTAAGTCTCTAAAGTTTCTTTTTGTCTTTTACATTTCATTCCGTGGCTGCAGCACATCAAAGCACATCAGGATGGCCATCTGGTTGGAGTTCTCCTCCTGACTCGCTGCAAGTTTGACCTGTGCTGCTGTCCCCGTGAACACCTCGCCTTCCCACACTCGGCTTTTGTTGAGCTGCAGGTCCACTCTCTGCTCGGCCAGCGCGCTGACCCTGTGGACACCAGGCACTTTCACGCGGAACTGGACCCAGGACAGCGGCTCCAGCAGGCCAGAGCGGGGCTCCAGCAAGACACTACCCTTCTGCCAGTCAGAGTAGGGGCAGGGGAAAGGGGGCCAAGCATTTTCTGAACTGTTATGGATAATAAAGTCACAAAGTGGGCTGAAGTCCTGGCTGGAGGTGCTCTTGCCATAGAGGCCAAGCTTGTAGACCCCTGGCTCTGGCAGAGTGATGCTAACAGTAACCTTGGTGCCATTGTGGGTGAAGAAGATGTACCGGGATAGCGGATATGTGAGCACCTTGTGCTGTTCTTTGGTCAAAATGGCATGAAGGTCCAAATTATACTGGTTCTGGAAAGTGATGTTGCACTTTCCCTGCTGTGTGCTCACTATTGCCCCCTGGTGGCTGAACTTAGAAAGGCCAGCCTCGCTGGTTCTGATGCCAGGGCCGCAACAGTTGCTAAGAGCGGGCGGGAAAAGTTCATTCAGGTTGACTGGGTTGCTAGTGCAGTGAAGAAGAAAGTTGCCAGCATTTTGGAAGCTGTCTCCAGCACGTTCATAGTCCCTGACAAATATGGACAGTCTGTAATAACCAGTATAAGGACAAAGGATGTTACAAGTAAGTTTGTCCATCTCAGTCTGATTGGCCAGGCATCTCTTAGACAGAGCCTTGTCCAGGTCCTTATGGATCAGTTCGCAAAGCATCATGAGCGGCCTAGCTGTCTGCAGAACCAGTTCAAATGTCCCTGACTTTAGCACAATGGCTTCACTGCCATACTTACAGGACTTGACCCCCAGTGCCTCAGCATTTTGCTGAATTCCCCAGCAGAGGTAAGGGTTCTCGGGGAGATGCTCTGCAGGCTTGGGCTCAGGACACTCAAGGAGGAACGAACACACCCAGCTGAACAGTCCTGAAGTGTTTCCAGGGCGGGCAAACAGCATGACGTCAAAGGTGCCCGCAGTGGGAGGCAGCACACGGAGCTTCATGCTGGACTGAGCAACGGTCAGAAGACCCAGAGAGCTGCTCAGCTCCTTCTGTTCAGATCCACTGCGCTGGGAGATCTGATAGGTGAAGTCCACTGGCTGAGAGAATCCAACCGATATGGAGGCCTCACCATCCTCTGAAGACAAACAGACAACCATTATTTTACTTTATAATGCCAAGGTAAAAAACTTTGAAGATTTTTATGCTGAAATATGCGACTATGCCTTTGCCAATATGCCACTAGTCATGAACCCCATGTAGAATCTTTGATTTACCTGCATTTATTTGTCTGGTGTTTCAAGGATTTTCTTGCTCGATTAATTTTTAATGTATTCTGAGTATGTTTTTATCTATGTTTCTTTTTCTTTGTATTAATCTCATTCATCTTTTATCCATCTGTTTCATTTTAGCATGATTAGATGATTTCACAAATTGTTAGCCAGGTTTACAGAGCTACCTGTGCTCCCACTACACTAGTCGCATTCTCATTCAAAGAGCACAGTACGCTGTGGCAGGTAGCTCACATGCACACAAATCATGTAAAAAGACAGGCACATGATGTATATAGAGGAAATATATGTTTCAAGTATATTATATGGAATTACAAATACTCTGTTATAACATATTAGTAATGCAAGTAATGTAATTCTTATTAAGTCAGTGACTGTAATGGGATTACCAGAATTTATAGTGTGTTATACTATGTCATTACAGGACAAAGTAAATAGATTACTATAACTCTTTACTTTGTATCATGTTAACCCCCATGTTATCGCGGATTAGCAATAAGCCAATACTCAGATTATGGGATCATGTCTAGTAAGCGGCATCGTCCTCAAAGCACAGAATGAAACACATGGTGTAGAGGAATGCCAGAGAGCACAACCTCTGCGAGAGTGACAGCAAAGAACCAACCTGTAATGAGTGAGAAGTGTTTGGGGTGGATGAGCGTTAATCCGAGCCTGTAAAACTCGGAGGTTTTCAGCACCCTCTTCTCAAACTCCTCCAGCTTAATGGGGCTTTCCAGCAGCTGCCACTCCTCCTCATCCGGACAGTGGGAGTTTATGAAGTCCTCTGGATCAGTCAGGAAATAGAAGTCATCATACCTGGAGTATAAAAAGAATCATCATGTTCTCTGAGCATTCAATGCTTGTAGGTGTTTTTTCACCTTGGCAGTATATGTACTGTAAATAGTCAAATGAAAGAGTATCCTAAATTTACTTCTTGATACTTGATGCTTAATCACTTTCCTATTTCTATAAGTTTTAGAGATGAAATTGCAAAACAATGTTCAGTTGATTAGACCTTTCTTCTTCTTCTCCTCAGTCTACATGAATATAATGTTTTTAATCTATACTGTATCTTACTCTAATAGCGCAACTGCTGCAGTGTAGTTGTATTTGGTTCCAGCATGCACTGTCCAGTCTTCAGTCACCTCTTAATGAAGGCTTTGTTGTCCATGTCCACGGTCCCAGCACCCCAGCAGGCGTCCAGCAGGTACCAGTAGCCCTCCAGACTCACTGCATTCCACATATGACTGGACTTCGTGTTCTGGTAGCTCTGACCCTGTCTGTATCCAACCCCCTTCCCATGACCACCCACCTCCCTGCACTCAATGCCCACCTCCCTGCAGAAAGACAGTAGAGTTCATTACAGACACTCAAAGTGTATGATTACTGCTGCTGGATAATAAACACTATTCTAGTATCTGATCTGACATTGCTTTAGTCATATGCAAAAGTTTAGGCACCCCTAGTCAAATTGCATGTTTTGTTGATTTTCTAAGTGAAAGTTTAGAATTTAGTTCACAATTGCTGTTCCTTTGCTAAATCTAACATTTTATGTGGAAAAAAACATAAAATATGGCCTGTGCAAAAGTTATGGCACATTTCATTCACACACACACAAATATATATATATATATATATATATATATATATATATATATATATATATTCCAATATGTTAAACTCAGCAAATAAGCAGGAATTTGCAGAGCAATGCTGTATTAAAGTGTGTTCTCTGTAGGATGTGTTAAGTTATTTTCACTTAGAAAATCAACTAAATGTGGTATTTGAGCAACACTTTTAAACTTTTGCTTATAACTGAATGTATATAACAAGCTATTGTTTGGCAAAAAATAAAATAATAATTTTAATAATAAATTTAATAATAATTTTCCTATTTTTCCAAATGTAGTCAATTGAACAAGGTAGTTTTGGTGTCTATAGTTTGCTTTTTGAGTTTTGCACTGAGACTATAAGGCTAATATAGCTAACAAGTAGGCTAAAAGAAGCTTATACCCCAGTAATTATGTACAAACTGCATGCCTGAATTATCATGTGCTAACCTCAACCTTTAATCACAAATAGAATTTCTTATGTGGTTTCTATCAAACAGGTATCTTTAAAAAAATAGCAAAAGAATGGACAAAATTCAAGCTTCAAGGTGCTGCTACTATTAGCTATACATCCTTTTATGAATAACACATCATAAAAGTAAACACTAAACACTAAATATTTCCTGCCTGATCAACCACATTTAAGGTAGGTGATTTAATTCGAGTTATTCCTTTAAAGAATATTTAAAGCCAAAACTAAAAACATGAATGTTGTTAATATCTCAGGCCAAAGCAGTGAGCAGTGCTCCTACTTGCACATCTGTAAGCAGAGGCTGGAGTATCCACAGCAAACTCCTCGACCTGTTTCAATGACCCTCTCAGGAGAGCACACTTTCTCGGTCAGACCCAGGTATCCAGTCACATCATACTCTGCAGCAAAAAACACTGAGTCAGCCCAGTCAACTCCATTTGAGGTAAAAGGAAAGATTGTAAATTTGCTTTGAAAGCAGCTGAACAGTAGCAGAGAGCGAGGTCATGTTGCTATTACTGGTCATTTTAGTGACAGATGTGATTAAGGCTTCTGTTACATGCTAATTTTTGCTGTGTACTCTAGTTAGTTGTTATGGCATCAAACATTATGACATCTGTCATTACAAATAATACTGATCCAAGCAACAGAACAGAATCTGTCGTCACAAGTCATGGCAGCATTTGACATCAGCTATTACATGTTTATAACATGGTTTTGTCAGTGTTATGTAGCAGGGTTCCAGTAAAGTGTTACTAATATTTTAACATATGATCCGGCTGTCAAAACAGTAAAACCATCAGTGGTGAGTGATGGATTCATGTGGTAATGCACTTTAAGAACTATTTTAATAGTAACATATAACCAAGAAGGATGGCAATAAATTGCATCTCGTTATGGTATCTCAGTGGTTATGTGATTTGACAGAACATTTGACTCCACACCATACACACTGGCACACACACTCTCTCTATTTTGCATTCAGAAATAAGTGATGCTGTAAACTGACACAAATGAGTCTCAAAGAGACCAAGAGCCATCATATCTAATGTCCCGCGAATACATCAGCTGAGATGTCGAGTTATATAATTTAACTGCGCAGCCCCGAAATGGAAACCAAAAGTCCCTGACATCCTAGACGTACTGGAAGTCTAAACTTAAATTGGTCTGTAATTATTTGATCCTTTGCAGGGCGCTTGCTAAGTTCAGCTCAGTGCAAACTGAACTCCAATTGTCCATTTATCAGCTAATGTCAGCTTCATGTTCCATGTTCTAATGACCATCTATTTTAGCTTAGTTTTAATGCATTAAAGCCCTATTTTGGGACAGTTGATTCCCTGAGAAACCCTTATCTTGCAACCTCTGACTCCAAAACACAGGCCATAATTGTAACAGCTCATGAAGCATCTGATTCAAATGTGTACATCATTTTAACTTCAGTAAAGTATTTACATCAACACAATTTTTGCCAAAAGTAAGCAAACAGAAAGACAGAACTGTGCTGATATCATATATTTTATTCATGTGTACGCATTTGAATCAAGCAAATTCAGTGCATCACTTTTTTCAATTAGAATAAGAGTCATTTAAGTCAAACTATAAAGCAACTTCTGCACTGGCCAATTGATGTTGTTGTAAAGTGTGGACATGCATGTGTGAGCCAGAAACACACCGATGTTGTGACAGAGCCAGATCCAGATGGCACGGAGTCTTTCTAAATCAGTAGACGCTCCCTCTGTGATGGCCTGGGCAATAGTCTGCACTGAGAAGATCTTCTTGCTCTTTAGCTGCAAAGAGCACACACACACACACACACACACACACACACACACACACACACACACACATATCCAGTTACACATGCATAAACTTTTATTAAACTATGCGCACATAAACATATCAGATCACTCACACTTGGCATAAACATTTACTTGGCTGCTCTGACATGAGCACACAGTAGATGACACAACTCTATCTATCTATCTATCTATCTATCTATCTATCTATCTATCTATCTATCTATCTATCTATCTATTTCTCTTGCTTTGTCACTCTTTTCTTTGTTCCCTTCTTTCTTTCGCTCTCTCTATCTCTGTCTGTTTTCTTTCTCTGTTACCATCTCTCTATGTCTGATTCTTTCTCTTCATCACATTCTCTCTCTTTCCCTCTCTGTCTCCCTTCTCTGTCTCTCTCTACATTCTTTCTCTCCACTTTTACCTCTCTCTCTCTCTCTCTCTCTCTCTCTCTCTCACTCTCTCACCTCTTTGCCGGTTTCGACTGCATACGTGTCAACTCTGCAGAAATCACTGTGAGAGAGCAGTTCCTTCTGCAGTTTCCTTCTGGACCAAGGCCTGGCCAAAGTGGTCATATTTTCTCTCTGGCTTGCAGAGTGACCGGTGCTGGGCTGCACCTTTTCCTCTCTCACCATAGTCTTCTTCCTGGCTCTGGAAGTGCGGGCTCTGCTCTCATCTGACAGCTGCCTCTTGGCCAGTGGTCTTTGACTGTCTCTGTCCATGGCTGCCCACTTCTCAAAAATAGAGCTTTTAGCAGCAGTGACACTGACAGATGCTTTAGGCTTTGGCATGGCTTTATCTGTTTGGGTCAGGACAACAAGAAAAAGAAGGTGATACAACACAGTACCGTAAAAGGTTCACACATACACACATATGAAATAACAATATTTTAAAATCAGTGATGTTTCAGTGGACATGCTCTTCCACAGGTACATCAAATGAAGGCTTCTGGGCCAATTTCTCTTGTACAACATAAGGCTTGGGTCAGGCTCAGGTTTGTTTTCTAATATATATATATATATATATATATATATATATATATATATATATATATTATACAGTACACATTTTCCATAAGGGGGGCTGTTTGAAATTCCAAATGAGTCAAGGACATCTGCATTGTGGAAACATTATGACTTGGACATTGCATCAAATAAAAGCACACAGGTCAGGTACAGTGTAGAGCTTTTGATTGTATTTTGAGCTATGATAGCAGGAGGACTGGCACGTCATCTATTCATTTACTTTGAATGCAACTGTTCCACAACAGTGTAAATGGGTTCAGGTCAGGTTCAGGTTTAGCAGTGCCAGTGCCTGGTTGCACCTGTGAGGCTTCAGGCTTCAAGCTTTATTTTGAACTAAGCAAATAAAATAATCTATTTACATTAACTAATATTCATTGTTAGGCTAATGTTGATGTAGAACATGCAATACATCTAACACATCATGGCTTTAACTAAATATAGTGTTTAATATTAGGTGGTAGAGTGGGAGTTGCACCTTTTCCTTAACTCCCTGGAACCACACTAAATTATTCAAATATTATTGTATGAAAATAATATGAAAAGAATGTATTAATTAAGAATGTAAGCATTTCGATATAGTAATTAAAGAAGGAATAATATTGTTTGAAACAGCACACCAAAATATACACCTGTATTGGCTACTGTCACCTATCAGTGCATGTAGGTGCATCTTTTCAGAATAACGTTAATGAGGAGGGACAGGGTTTATGCTATGCACAGACCCACATTCAAGTGACTGGACTTTTTCTGACAACTTTTAGGAGTCAGAGCTTATTTTTTGTCAAATATTGCATTAAAGCTTTACCTCAGAGCTGAAAATCACATGAAACCTGAAAATGTGTTTTGTTACACTCCTAACAGTAATGTGAGTAAGGAACTAAAGTGTGTACCACGTGCAGGCCCTTACAGTTTAAGGGGTCAATAGGCATAGTTACCTGTTTGGTTGCTATTGTTGGATAAAGCAGCACTCTGCAGCTTTGTGCTGATATTCCAGATTGCTGTGGTGGATTCTTCTGTTTGAGCATCTTCAGGTTGATGTTCTTTGGCTTGAGTTTGAACCCTCTCACTCCTCTCTTCATGTGTGGTCTCCTGCTTTGCCATATAGGTCTTCTTCACTGTGAGAAGGCATGGATCTTCTGGTATATCGGCATTGTTGTTGTTGTCATCCTCGGCATTACAGCACAGATGATTAGCATTAGAGGGGAGATGGCCGAGGCCTTTTAGAATATGATGAGCATTCAAAACAGCAGCCATCGCTGATGAGATTTATGATTATACCTGCAGGGAGAGCAGAACCCAAGCAATAATGACAGTCTGTTCCACCACTATTAAACATGCAGTTTAGAAATATTAGCAGAGGCATGCATTGAATTTACTTGCGGTAAATGTGCTCATTATTTCTAGAGCTCTTTTAATTTTTAGTTTGAAAAGCCATTAAGAACAAATTATACATTTTTCAGTTATTCAGATCAGATATAAGATAATCCACTTGCATAAAGAAGAGCAAGGTCATAGAAAAATAAGTGAAATAATATGAGTTTCTCAAACTGGAAGATTACAAGATGTAGAGAAAATGAGACTCCTAACAACTGTGTAAGATCTGGTGGACCAAACTGTCAGTTTCAGATAAACAGCACATATAGCTTTCATCATTGAGAGAGAGGAGAAAATCAAGCTTGCTACAGATCTGAAAAAATCCACAGGTGTTTCTGTCCATCCTTCCACTGTGAGAAGACAACTCAGTGCTATGAGTCTGAAAGGATGTGTAGTGGTTAGAGGTCATTACTGAGAAAAAGAAACAGACAAATAGCATGTTCTGTGATATTTACAGAATAAGAGTTCAGACCTTAACATCATTAACCACATTGGTGAGCCCAAAGTATTATTACACACTTCTATAACCCATGAACAGCTCCATTAGTTTGCACTGAAGTCCCTGTAGCTACTGAATCATAAAGCTTTGTATGCAATACTCCTGGATTGTTAAGGGGTTAAATGTGTTTGGGATTATTTGGATTGTGAGAAGCAGAAAATGCAACCAACTTCTAAGACTGAAATTTGGAGGTGTAGAAAAATATCCCTGCAGATTTCTTTGAAAAACTGAAAGTGAGTCTCCTGAAAAGAATGGAAGCTGTAATAAAGGTAAAAGGTGGATACACTAAATACTGAAACATTTTATAATATGTTTATTAGATGTGGCTTCTGTGTCATTTTCCATTAAATATGTTTTCTTGAATTGAATTGACATTAAATAATTGAAAGGTGGTCTATGACTTTTGCACAGTACTGTACTCTACACTGAAAAGTACATTCAGTGTATCACCTTCTGCTAATTTATATAGCTTAATGAATATGGAATAGTACATGTGTCAGATAAGGTAGCTATTTAGTGATTGGTTCAGGAAAATATGCTTAATTAATATGCTTCAGAGTCTTACAGCTATACAGAGTCAGTATAAAATGAGGCGGCAAATCACTTTCCAGACCCACAGGTGCATTTGCTGGCTGCCTGTTATTTCAGATGGCTTGCGAAAGAGTGCACAGGCGGCCCTTCTCCAACATTTGCGCCAATCACACTCTTATGACAATTGCAGCAGAAGGCCATTATCGCTTTTCACATGGGTGCAACAGTAATTCTATTTCAATTAGTGCTAAATAGGGTATTTACTAGAGGCCAGATGAGTGCTGGGTCAAAATTGACCAGAATGGCAGATAATGCACTTACTGCTGCATGTAGAAAGTATTGTTGTTATCTGAGAAGCAGCCTCAGACATCTAACATCCTCAAAAACACACATTTCTAAGGCTCATTTAAATCTTCGAATTACTCAATTCTGAGAGGCACACGGTATGAGCCTGGAACACTGAAGGCCCACAGGATAAGACAGACAGAGGCAGCACATCTCCCTTTTACTCAACATAAAAATTACAGCCTAACTGCTACAGTCAAAGCAGAGGACATTCTGCACTCTTTTGCCCCTGCGTTCTGTTCTGTGAAGTGCTTTGTCCAGTTCTTACCTGTTGGCCAGTGTTGGTTTTTCTCTTTGATGACGTGACTCTGTGTGCTGCTCTTCTGATGTGTCATTAATCTGCTCGTTCAGCTCTCACCTCCTGGAGAGCGGCTGTTATATACCCACTGTGCGGTGGGCTGTGGTGTGTAGCGCTGGCAGGTCCTGGGGATGACAGCCCTAAAAATACTACAAAGCAGCTGAGAGAGAGAGAGTGAGAGAAAATACATAGGGAGGGTGAGGACTTTCCACCAGTCGCTGGGCCTAAGGGGAGTATTAGGGGCATTTAGGGGTCACCAGAGTTCTCCATTGGGTCGATGGTGTAAAGTGTAATTTTCCGGGGGACGATGCAAGCTACATAAATAAAACGTTATTGTGAAATGTAGTGCTGTGGGGGGACATAGGAAAGGTGGACATTAGAAAAGGAGCAAAGATGTGCATGGACATATAGTTTAGAGCTTGAACAATTGACAGTACATGCTAATATTAAGTATTTAAAGGATCTACATCTAAAGTTACAGGAAAACATTATTACTTTCAAAACAAAACTTTGTATCTCCATCGTTTTTTAGTTATGGCACATTTTATGTTTTATATTTGTGTGTTTTATGTTTTCCACTATGTTAAATCCAGCAAATAAATAGAAATTGTGCACTACAATTTGCAGAAAAAAATTTTAATTTATGTTTGTCAGCAGAGGGCGACGGCGGCAAGGTGCAGCAAGTTCAGGGAACTCCAATTCCCAGAAGCCCTCGGGCTGATTAGGCCCAAGCTGGTACACCTGTGGACTCCTCTACTTAAGGCCGTGGCAAACAGCAGCCCTTTGTCACACCTTTGTAGAGGGGTGACTGGTATGGTTCTTAGCCCAGGTGGGTATTTAAACAAAAAGGAAAGTAAAAAGAAAATAAAATTAAAGAGGGCTGGACAAAAGAATAAATTGCCCCAAAACAACAGAAAGAAGAAAAAGGCGCTAAAAAAGAATAAATTGCCCCAAAACGGCTTAAAAGGAAAAAAAAGAAGGCTTAAACAAGAAATGGTTCCAAGCCAAACAAAAAGTGTTGGTTCCACAAAGAACAAACATGTGGAACATAAAGCTGACCTGCCTCTCATCACAGAGGAAGTGTCTTTTTGTTTTCTGATTTATCTTTTATTTTACTTTTCTATCTCATTTGTTGTTTCAGCGTCCCCTTTGTACCCTTTCCCGCCATTTTTCCACTCCCATTCATTGGGGAGTTTTTCCCGTTTCCACCTGTGCTTCCTGGTGGTGTAGTGGTAACTCCGTTACGCCGTTCAGCACATCGGCGATTCATGCCTGGCTCTGAGCCACCCCAACATGCAGAATCATTCAATTACCTCATTAATTCATTTAAGACTCTTTCTCACGGGTCTTCCTCTCTGCACTTGGGTCCACCGCCCTGCCATCCCGTAACAATGTTCACTTAGAAAATCTACAAATGCAGTTCCAAAAAAGTTGTGGCAGTAGGTAAAATTCAAACAAAAAAGCAGTGATTTTAAAATCTGATTTGGTCTGTGAACAAAACACTACAAAGAAAAGATATGCAAGTCTTATCTTCTCAGCATCATTGTTTTTGTGAGCATATGCTGAAATGGATGCCTGCAGCACACTCCAAAAAGGTGGGACAGGGGCAATTTAAGACTAGGAACCTTTTATGTTCAGAAACATGTTTAACAGGTAATGCAATCATGCTTGGCCACGAAAGGAGCATCCAGGAAAGGTAGAGTGCCTTATGTGTGAGGATGGGATGAGAAAAAATCCTAAGTTTAAAAAACATTTCTCAGCAAGAGATTGTAAGGATTTTAGGTATTTCACCCTCTGCAGTGCATAATATCAAAATATTCGGAGAAATCTCTGTGTGGAAAGGACAAGGCTGAAAACCACAAACGACCATCCACAAATACAAGTCAAAACTGTACTATGCACATCAGAAGCGGGAGACTTCTCTGGACTCAAGGTCAACTAAAATGGACACACAGTAGAAAAAGGTATTATGGTCTGAGTCAACTTTTTTAGATTGTTTATGGAAATAATGGATGTGGAAAAAGACCATCCAAATTGTTACCAGCAGAAAAGTGCAACAGCCAGGATCTGTTACGAAATCGTGATTTTTAGACTTTATCAGGTGCTGTTTTTTTATGTCCATGCTTATTTCAACTCACCAAGAAACGTGCTCTGCACATGTTATAACAGCATGGCTGCATAATCATGTAGTGTGGGTGCCAGGCTAGCCTGCCTGTCTCCTATTGAAAATGTCTACTTTATTCTAAACAATTTTGGACCTTTTTCATTATTTTTGACACAGTGTAAAAAGCTGCTGGCATTTAGATTATGAAAAAGAAACAATTGAGGTTTTTTATTTATTATTTTTTTTTTCCCAAGCAGCAACAATATGCACACTTATGACATCTCACAACAGTTGAGTTCTGCATTTATGTGCCTCTAAAACCCCTACTGGTATGAATGGACTGCTACAGTTTGCATGGACCACTGAATGCATTGACAGGTACCTGGCTTTGCTTACACTGAGGGGCTGACTTATTGTTACTATTTTCAGTATTAAGCTTTGAGTTTAAGTATTTGGACATTTTACTGTAAAACTGCAAATAAAAAGTAAAGAATAGGCTACTTGAACGTCCTACACACTTCAAATATCTGTGTTCTGGTTAGATCTGCATATTTAAAGCCCTTCAGTTTGGGCCATGGTTGCTTGAAAACAATAGTATACTCGAAACAAACTACATTTCTAGGTGAAAGTATTAGTTATTGCAATCATTATTGACTATAACTTATGACCTGGGCAAAAGATCTAAATTATGTAATTTTTCAGTCAATATATAGAAAATAAAGAATATAAAGAAATGAAATCTTTTAAGCTATTCCTTTAAATTAATAAATCTAATTTTTACTTATGCAAGTTGTCAATCAGCCAAGACATTTGGAGTCCAAACTTTGCTTCTTTAGTTAACAAGGCTAATGTTGCTAACAAACACTAGAGCTTAGTCACCCACATAGCCCAATTAATTTCTGTAAAATCTGCTCAAACCGCATCCAGAGTTCTCATTAAGGCCACGCAGATGTGTCGATGTGGTTTAGGGGACAGACTTAGTGTGTTAGACAACAGGCTCTATATTGACAAATGACCTCAAGAGAAGAAATGCTGATCTACAATCAGTGTTTAAGATGCTGACCATCAGGTCCTGCTTTGTGAATACGAGCCCTGGTGTTTTCTGAAGTCGGTGCCTGAAGCAGTGAAGTGTTGTTCATTAAGTCATACTGTGCTCTAAACCACATTGGTAAGTCTGTGCAACCATAAGGAAGACCAGGATGTGATTTTGAGTGGGTTGAGATGGTTTGGTGATCTATTTTTACAAAAAATGGTTTGGGCTGTTTGGGCTATTTGGGTTACTATAGAGTTCTAGTGTCTGTTGGCAATGTTAGCCTAATAGCTTCAATTGTAAACTAAAGAAGCAAAATTTGGACTCCAAAAATATCTTTGCTGGTCAATAACATCTCTGGTAAGTGTAAAATTAGGTAAATTTGATTTTTCTAATTTTTGATTTATTGCTTAATGTATTATTAAAATTTCATGTTACCATTTTAAAGCCTCTTGTGGTTCATGGCTTTAATATAGAATACTAAGACAGAAAATAAACAATACAAACATGTACAGCATCACATGACATCACAAACTACACCTTATCCTAAGTATGCAAACCAAATTTACAGGATGTTTGCAGCTCCTTGGATCATCTGGCATGTGTGCAAAGTAGGACATGAAAAATGAGGCACACAGAGTCCTGCAAAAGTGTAAATACACAGAGAATCAAAGACATAAATAAACAATTTCAGAGCTGTTTATGCAATGTTAAAAAGATGGCCATAAGGCAAAAGGTCTTCAACTACTAATTACTTGTGATAACAAAATCAAGGACAGGAAACTAGATTCAAGGTTCAGATGAGTATCTCTGGTGTTCAAAGTCACATCTTGTTATTTTGTTATTTTGTGGTGTTTCTGAGTAAATGTGTGTTCAGCAATTTGAACTGATGGTTTGAAGTTAAAAATTAAGCCAGACACTCTGGTACATAATATCCCTCATTAACTCATGAACTCTTTAACTGCTGCCAAAACCTCACTGTTGGCTGTTTATGTTTGTGGTTGTTGGTAAGATGTTTTGAATGTCTCTTTATTGCAAATGCTGCAAAATGTACTGCCCTTTTGGCAGGTCAATTCCTAATCCTTGTTGCAATAGGCTGTACAGGAGGGCCATTACAACTGCATATCTCAGAGGCTGCCACTGTGGAAATGTAATGTTATATTCCAAATCATACAGTACTCTACAAAAATCAGAGACCCTCTTCATTTATTTAAATTCTAGCCATTAAGTACAATTTATTCATTTTTCAGAGTTTTGAAAAAAATGAACATATTTTACAGAACATCACACAAAAGACAACTAAATATAATGAGTTCTTTTGTACTTACTGTGTCCACCCTTTGCCTTTTATAACAGCTGAGAGATTCTTTTTAAAGAAATTTGTAGGGATAATTTTCTACACCTTCAAAGTTTAGTCTTAGAAGCTGGTGTATCTGCTTTTATGATCCCAATAACAAATTTAGGATCATCAGTCCATAAAATCTAACTTCGCAGCTTAGATAACCAGCTTTGGTGTTCTAGTGCACTTTTTTTTGTCATATTTTCTCAGTAAGGCTTCTTAACAGCTATGCATCCTTTCAGACTCAGTGTTGACTTGCCTTCTCACAGTGGAAGGATGGACAAACACCTGTGGATTATTTCAGATCTGAAGCAAGAGTGGAGCTGGATTTTCTCCTCTCTCTCAAAGATAAATGCGTTAAATACACACTTAAATGATGGTTCTTCTAGGGTTTCTTAGTAAAGAAAATGATTCTGTATAGAATCATGAACACTCAAAGAACAGTTTGTATGATTTTTAAGGGTTCTTTTCATCATGAAGGGGTTTATCAGATTGATGGAGAATGTGTTGTAGATGGTTCTATATAGTGCCTTTTTGAAAAAGGGTTCTATATAGCACCAAAAAGGGTTCTGCTATTGCTACAAGCTCATCTCGTAACAATAGCAGAATCCTTTTTGCTCCTATATAGAACGATCTACAGCACATTCTCTATCCATCTGAATAACTCTTTACTGTGCAAAAAACCCTAAAAAAATCATACAAAGCATTCTTTAAATGTTTCATGGTTCCATATAGAACTATTTTCTTTATTGAAGAACCCTTGAAGAACCATAATTCGTAAGTATGTAGTGTTTTTATAGTGACAGTTTTGGTGGTCTATGTCTTGCACCATTTGTTAAAGTCTGTTAATTTTTTGAAGTTTTGGAAGTTCCATTCCATTTGACTCTGAAGTGGATCATCTTGCATTTAATCTCCTCAGGAATATCTTAATATGTTTAAATTTAAATAAAATATGGTCTCTAACTTTTGAGCACTACTACGTATGTAATACATGTTTTTATAGCATTGTAGTTTTGGTATTGGTATGTTCTCTCTCTCTCTCTCTCTCTCTCTCTCTCTCTCTCTCTCTCTCTCTCTTGCTCTCTCTCTCTCTCTCCTCTCTCTCTCTCTCTCTCTCTCTCTCTCTCTCTCTCTCTCTCTCTCTCTCTCTCTCTCTCTCTCTCTCTCTCTTGCACTCTCTCTCTCTCTCTCTCTCTTGCACTCTCTCTCTCTCTCTTGCACTCTCTGAAACATCTGGCTCTTGATTGGGTGTGAGAGTGTGGGCCTGTGTCTTAACAGGTTTAAGGCACTCCACATTCACCTGCCGGGATGCTTCAGTGCCCTTCACACAGCCGCCTGCACCCTGCTCGCCACCCCAAATCCATTTCATGCCCTCGCTTTCACCCGCCGATGCGGGCAATTTGTGAGCAAACGACGTCGAAGGCCGGTAATGAAGCATGAAGACCGAGGAGGAGGAGAGAGATGAGATGGCAGAAGTCATTGTGAACCATTTTGTAGCAGGTAAGATACACTTCACAACACACTGTCGTAGCAGCTTTTGCAGGGAGCATGATGAGCAGAGGAGTTTCAAGGCTTTTTCAGTGGAGTCTGGGTTTGAAGAGACAGCTGAGTTTATGCTTTTCACGAATTAAAACTTTAAAGCTGTTTCATGGTCTGCATGAAGTGAGATTTTGAGTTATCAAAGTGTCATGTGCAGTGAGGCACAGGGAACCAAGAAGTGAACAAAAGCTGACATGCAGATATAGAGAATAAAATAAACATATTCGGTTCTCTTCATCCTATCAAAATAAACACCTTTAAAGGAATACCTTAACTCTTCAAACTAGACTTTAAACCTATTCCTCACTCTTGCATTTACAACACATACATCAGTATCATAGTAGCTGCTGAATAAATTTTTATAGTTACTGAATAGCTGAATAACTGAGTTAATAAACTGAATCCTATGCTTGCAGTTTGAAGGAACAGCAATTTCCAACCTAATCTCTATCTGGTACATATAAAGCATACAGTCGCTGACCCCAGACAATTATTTTGATGGCCTTTATTGAACAGAAAACCAGATCCAAAGATCCAAAGCATCTGCCTATTTGTCTTCAGTTAGTGAGGGTTTTTTTTCCTCATTTTCTGCATCAAAATCATTGTCTGTGGAAATTGACCCCATGCTCCTGTCATGTCTCTCCCCTGGGGAGACTGACTTGGACTCTTCCAGGCTCTGCCCATTCTCCTCCTCTCCCACACACCTGCAACTTATGTTGATTTTCATTAAGACTGCTTTATATATCCCTTTTTGTTTCCATCATGTGTTTGTGAAGTCTGTTCAATGCCTGAGGTCTGAGCCCTTTTCTTGTGTTTGGTTTTCACTGGTTTTGGCCCCTGCTACTCTTTGTTTTGTCTAATAATGGATCTGCATCTTTTCCTGCCTGCCTGTGTGTTGACCCCTGCCTGATACAACAATGAGTATCGTTATGCCCTTAACAAAGTCACTTCACACTTGCAACCTGCCTCAGCCCCTACATTATAGCTGCAGATGCAGGGAATAGAGATTAGATTGAAAAACACTGAAGTATTCCTTTAAACAGTGTTGCACTTTGGTGATGGAATGGCATGCTCTTCCTGTCCACAGCTCTTCCTTTAATGGTCAACAGATCGGTTTAACATGGTGTTCAAAGTGTAAAGTCGACAGTGGTTAGCCATGAAGGAGAGAAAGTCTGTTAGAATAACAGCTACTTTAGCCGTACGCTCTCACCTCTGGGAACCTCAGAAGGAATCAGACTTTGCTCAGTGTGAATCTATATCTGAATTTCAAAACTCTGCAACAAAATAAAAGAAAAAGCAGCTTCTGTCCCGACTGAGGACATCAGTGGGTTAGGCAGCTATCAGCGAGTCCCAGATAAGACTCTTTTTACATGCACTGCAGTCAGCCATTAAAGATGAGCAGAGACTTTGGCAGCGAATCACAGAACCTTCATCGATCATCCATCAGGCTTGTGGGGAAACAAGGACAAAGAGATATCGTTCTTCTCAGAGCAAAGAGATGGGAACCGGTCAAATATGAGGCCAGCAGGGGCTTTTCTTTGGAATAAAATTGATTATAGATCATGCTGTATGAACTCTAAATTCTAAACTATAAATACAGAAACCTTCATCTGTTAAAGTGCAAGGGTCTATTTGTATGCGCACCAAGCAATTCCTCACTTTCATAACTGTATTACTTGAATGAGTTTTGTAGCAGTTGCCACACTATGTGTACCAGTTACTGAATAACAAGTCTTAAGTTTAAAGGGGAATTCCATCAAATTGTCAATTTCTGCATGATTCAGTAATGGAGATGGTGACTGACTTGTTGTTGTGAACTAGTGAACCTACACATCTTCTTCTGAGTTTTGAAACGAAGTAAAAGAACAATGTTGTTAATAGTAAAATAGTGGTTAATCAGAAAACAAACAGGTTTATTTGGAGATTTTGCCTTACAATGACTTGCATGTATCTCTCCACCAAGAAAGGATTACTGAAAGACACGGTTTAAGGCAACACATCACAAAACTGTTGTACCACAATGTCTCAGACATTAGTGTTTTCAAAATCACTTACTCTATAACTTTCTATGAGGGAAGTTTTAGAAGCACCAAACTGGTTTCATCACCACCACTGTGAACAATTCTGACCTGGTACTTTTTTTTCTGGTAAAATTGCATGTTTTGCTAATTTTTCTAAATGAAAATAAGTTAACACATCCTCTACAGAGAACACACTCAAATATGATATTTTTCTCTCTATTTTAGTGCACACTTTCAATTTATCTGCTTACATGTTACAAAACATGTAAACCAACCAACGACTGTACATGGGACTGTAAGGCTTTGTGCTTGTGTGGTATGTTTATAGCTTTTTAAACTACTTTTAAACCCAATGATTGCAACATTTTTGCAACATTTTTCCTAAATCCACCCACAGCAAACAAGATCAGGCAAGTCTAGTTTTGCTGGACCAGTTTTGTCTGCATGGTATTTGTGTCATACAGGTGTCTACAGTACAAGATACATAAACCCTTGCATTAAGAGCAGGGTGAAAAATGAACATTTCTGTCCAGCTGTCCACAGTGTCCAGTGCATGCCCACCTAGATGTTTTACCATTGTCAACAAATACTCAGTTTTTTTACAACTGTCAAACAACTACTACTACTACTACCAACATCAATAACAATTATAATAACATCAAACAACAATAACAAAGACTAAATCTGTGTTCACTGTGGAATTGTTTCATAATTCTGACATGCTATATCCACTGCTACATGAATAAATCCATAATTTACTCAGCAACCTAGCTAGGTCTATACTCTAGGATTGTTCTTTAGCATGAAATTTCTCTTTAGAATGTAAGAAATACACACAGCATATAGGCTAATATGGGCTACCATTATGGGTTTCTGAGGATTAAACTGTAAGAACCTCTTTGTGGGCTCACATTTTAATTCTTCACTTTCATAATTATATAAACTGCAAATGAATGTACTTCAAGTTACTGAATAATTTATAGTGGTAACTGAAAAATAAATCTTAGGATTTTAAAGTGAGATTAAAAAGTTATTTCAAACATAATCACTCTTCAGCTTTTTGTATATTTGTTAATCACTTGCAGTTATATCTCTTTGCAGCACTCTGACGTAATGCTCATTTCTCACCCAAGGATAAAGCAAGGAAGTGTTTGTTTTTGTGGCTCATTTATCAGCTCAGTATGCGTCTCCATGAGGCATCAATCCGAGCGGAGACTGTTGCCCTTAAATTGCCCCCGAGGGGGCGGATGTGCTTATCGGTCAGCCTGTAGTCTCCTGCCCCATGGGCTCCAATCTGAGCACCGCATTTAAACCCAGACAAAACCATGCAGACAGACGTGACTGTAAATTAGAATCAGACACGTCCAATTAGCTTGTTAAGATGTGCTAAGCAAGTTGGTTACTTGATATGCTGTCATTACATCTCTGACCAGTAGAGGGCAATGTTTCCATTCAGTAAACCGGCACACAGCAATATCAACTTTTTACTCATTTATTCCAGGAGAGATCTTATCAGCATCAGAGGGGTATATTAGCCAATTTATTAGCCAATGAATTTGTTCTAGTGAGTGCTCCCATATAGACAGAAATGCAAAATGCAAGAAAAGAATATGCACACAATATAAAAATATGTAATACTGAGCAGATTTAAGTGGACATCATAGCATGGTTTGGTTTAAGCAACAGAATATTCTAAGTATAAAGTATATGCATGACAATGAATATACAAAGTCAAGCGCAAGCAGTAGATACAAGCAATCTATCAGCAGGATATATTGTGATGTATTTGTAATAGTTGTATATATCAGGAGTGACTAGTGACTCTAGTCTTGGATTCAACACCAGTGCAGTGCAGTGCAGTGCAGTGCATTGCCACCCAGACCTGAATTTTAACTCACCTAGTGGTGTGTGTGTGTGTGTGTGTGTGTGTGTGTGTGTGTGTGTGTGTGTTTCAGCATTAGGAAATAAGCAGAAAACATGTTTAACGGAAAAGTACACAGACGTCTGAACAACAAAATATGATATGAAATATTTCAGTATTTAGGGTGTCCATATTTGCTTTGATTGCAGCTTCCAGTCTTTTCAGGAAACTTGCTTTCAAAGAAAAGAAATCTGCAGTTTTCAAAGAAATCTGCAGTTTTTCCACACCTCCAAAGTTCAGTCTTAGAAGTTGGTTGCATTTTCTGCTTCTCGCCATCCAATAATTGTAGTGATATTATAAGATAAAGATAATGCTTGAACAAAGTAGAATTATCTCTGCAGTAAGAAAATATCAGTCAATAAGATCACTTTACATAAATAAAATGTCTAAAATTAGTTAAATGACTTCTTACAACAGTCATGTATTTATGTATTTTATTTATTATATATATATATTGCCTACATTTAAGATGCTTTCACTTGTCAACATGTGATTTGTTGTTATTTGTAGCATAGGGCTCGAAATTGGCACTCAGAATATACTATTTCTTTTTTCACAGCATCACTTTTCATTACTTCTTATCCAGCACATTAAATTCACTATAGGAGAGAATACAAACAAAGGTATTATAGAAAGGCCACTTCCACCAACACTAACACTAGCTGTCTCTGCTGCCCTCTAGTGTCAAACTGAGGTTCAACATTGTCAAACAGGCAGCAGAGGGTCCAGGCTGTTGACACCCAAGACCTAATATGCCCACCTAGATCTTTTACTGCCACAGGCTTTGTTTTTCTCACATATTTCAGACGGCATTCAAACCTGCTTTGGATTCACTAAAATGAACAATTACCAGAGGGCCTGAAGTGTTTTGTGAAAGCACTGTTTGATGTTGGTTTAGATGAGAAAATAAAGGTTTACAAGGCGTCTAACATCTACAAAAATAACTAGCAGGAATGCCTCGAATGATTGTTATTGTAAAGGAATTTCATGGCAAACATTCATGAGAGAGGAAGGGGAGA